CAAGGGTGATATTGTAGACATAACAAAAGAAGAGTAGAAAATAGGGAAAGTGTGAGGAGAGAATCCAAGGGAAAAAGAGGCAAAACACTTAAGGAACCCAACATAGAAAGAAATATGTGGATTTTAAGGTATATGATAATATCTTTAATTGAACCATTATAAATTGCATTTATAAGGGGGATATTAATTTCATATGCTGAAATAACATCCAGTGATTCTATGTAAAATAAATAAGTAGATAATTAAAAACAATAATAATAAAAAGTTGGAACAGTGTGGTACTGACATAAAAAACAGACATGTCATATGGATGAATGACCAACAAAAACAAGAGAGTGCCCAGATACACTGACAATCTAGAGAGTATGCATTCATAATATAATATTGACCAATGAATACAGAGGAATGCCAAGAAATATATCCTCCCAAATATAGTTGAAAAGAAAAGCTCAGGTCCTGATGGCTTTGCCTCTGAATTCTACAAAAAATTAATTTAATTTAATTTAATTTAATTTATTATTCATTAATCACATTAGTTAGCTTACAAAGTGAACATTTCAATATGTGAGCATTTCTCCCCAGTCCAGTTGAAAATATCTTCAACCGATAACACGATACCTCCCCATGTCGTCAATGCTCTGCTTCCATATCGCTCCACCAAATGTCCTTCTTAGGCTCCACTCCTCCACACACACTACATCTGGCATTCATACCCATCTCTTGTGTTTGTACAACTTTGGTCAATCAGTTTCACTCAGAGTGCAGACACTCAGTATATATTAAGTGGGGACATATAATGTCTTTCCTTTCTATCCTGGCTTGCTTCATTCAGCAGTAAATCTTCCATATTCTTCCACTTTGTGTCGAAAGCCAGGATTCTGTTGGTTTTTATGGCTGAACAGTATTCCATAGAGTATATGTTCCACAGTTTTTCAATCCATTTATCCATATGGGGGCATTTGGGTTGGTTCCATGTCTTAGCAATCGTGAATAGTGAGTGATGCACTAAACATCAATGTGCAAGCACTTTCCCAATGAAGAATTATTCTACCCTTTGGGTAGATACCAAGGAGTGGGATTGCTGGATCATATTGCAGTTCTATTTGTAGATTTTTGAGGAATCTCCAAATTGTTCTCCACAGTGGCTAGACCAATTTACATTCCCACCAGCAGTGTAAAAAGTTCACTTTTCACCAAACCCCAGCCAAGACTAAACATTTTTTTCTTCCTTAAAGTCTTATACATTTTTCCCCGGGCCCTGTGTGGCGGCAGTACCTGCGCGGCCCCCCTGGGCCCTGCACGGCCCCTGGGGCCCTGCATGGCCCCCCTGGGTCCTGCGTGGACCCCCTGGGTCCTGCGCAGCCCCCGGGCCCTGTGCGGCCCCCCAGGCCTACACGGCCGGGGCTCTGCTCCGCATTCCGCTGCCTCTCCGGGGCTGGTGTGTGGCCTCCGGGACTGTGCGTGGCCATGGGGCCTGCGCCTACGCGTGGCCACCGGGTCAGCGTGTGGCCCCAGGACCGG